TGGTCCGTTGTCTCGCTTAACTTTTTTATTGCCAGACGAAGCGCAAACATTTGCGAGTATTAATTAACGCTTTGTTGAAGTTTGCGCTTCGATGTCGCCGGCCCAGACATCGAAGTAGACCTAGACGCTTGACGTAGACTTTGTCAAATGTAATGCTGGGCAAATATTACGTAGCCAACCCGTTTGCCCGCTTTTCGGTACAGTAGTGATTGCTCTTATTTGTTGTGAGATTTTCAAATCTGGATCACACTTAGATAGATGCTGTACATGCGAAAAGGTTTGCTTTTAAGGTAATCGTTTAGTATTTATCTATTAAGTGAGATGCGCAATGAAATTGAAAAATTAATTAACATCCAACATTAACATATTTTTGTTGTGAATTTTTGTAATCTTACACAAACCACTTTTAAGTAGGAAAAACACCAAAACATCTTAAGCGACTTGTACTGTATATTCATGCCCCGTTTTAAGTCTCTGATTCAGATTTAGATTGAGATACAGATTGCTGTAGTCGTCGGCTCTGGTGCTCACTCAATTATTCAGGCATAATAAGCAAATTGTTTTAATATGCATAAATATCTTGTACGCCATTTGGCAAACAAGTCAAAACTGCCAGACAAACTGGCAGGCAGTGGCGCAGACAGACAGTCGCAGAGGGGGGAATACAGGGGGGATGGGGATAAGAGGGGGAGGGGGTGGGGGTGCTGGCTTTCAGGGAGCGGGACAACAACAAACGGCCGACTGCATAATGCCCATGGGATATACAAAAGGTGTGTTTACATATATTTAACCTTCAAGATCCGCAGACTAAATATGCCAGCAAACATTTATGCCATAAAAGCCACCGACAACGTGGACTTTTCCAATGCCCTAAAAATGGACTGACAATTTGTCTTTCTGTCACATTTTAGAAATCTATTTGGCCAAAAATATGCTAATATAATAAGTGCATAAGCACCATATATTGTATATTGGGAATCGCTTGCCAAAGAAAATATAGTATCGTAACACAGCAATTGGTATGATTCGAATATTTAGTTTTTTGCTACTGCATGCAATACTTAAAGATAATTATAATAAATATTAATTTAAACGAAATAATAAAAGTAATACTTTCGAAATAGTTTAAATACTTTTATATTGTTACCCTTAAAAATGTTGTTCTTTTACTTCAATGATGAATTTATGTGTTGCTTCTTGTTAATTTATGTAAAATCATTTGTCAAAAATATTTGTTTGTCTTTCTGTTTTATTTTTAAAAAATTAAAATATTTATTTTCATTTCTTAATTGGAAAATAATCCTTCACTGGTTTTAAAAAATAGTAATTTCCACAATGTTATAATGCTCTTTATACCTTAAATACCTAAGTGTATTTCATAATCATAAGCCTAGGTAGCGTGACTGAAATCTACCTTGTATTCCATGGAATTCCACAAAATTACATTACACCGGAGGCCTCGGCTTGCCCCTCTAGAACCCCCCTTCCCGCCTCCCCCTCCACCCATCACCCTCCACTTGCCCAATTGTTTGTCTGTCTGTGTGTGCGTTGTGGCATCGGCATTTTCGGAAGGACCAGACACAACGAGTATGGGATTAACGAGGAGCCAGGATCAGGATGGGAAGAAGAAGAACAAGCAGCAGAGGAAGAAGGGAGAATGAGAAGGAGTTGCACTGGCACACAATAAAATAAAAGCTTAGGCCGCAAAAGCGGCAGACAACTAACTACGCATATGTAAGCGAGGATGACGACGCAGGATATGCGCTTCAAACGCGTTGAGCTGAGCCTTAAAATACGGGAGTAAATAGGGAGAAAAGGGGGTGAAGAGAGGGGAGAAGAGAAGGGAGAAGAGAAAGCCGGCGGCTCACAATTGAGAGCTGAACGCAGCTGATAAACTTGGAGTGCTCACAATGCGGAAAATGTGGGAAAAGGTGCTGCGAATGATTCTCAAGGACACAGTCGAGTTCGTTTGTGTGTGTGTGTGTGTGTGTGTGTGTGTGTGTGTGCGGCCTACGCATATTTGAGTTCGGTCTGCTCTCCCTCCCCCCCTCTATCTATCCCACCCTCTCTTCCGGTCTGGCGCAGACGGTGGCGTATACGTAACGTGTTTTTTTGTACGACCAACAAAATAAAGCATACGCAACGTGTTTCCCTTAGCCGCCCATCGTTGTTGATGACGTTAAATTTTCGGGACTCTGGCGGAATTCATCGAGAGTTATGCCACAAAAAATGCGTTCTTGCCTCCTAAACAAACACCACGTGGCCTCACTCGAAATATATAAAGGATCCTAGATATTTTTTTGGCCCTCGTGTGTGTATTTTGAGCCCTGCTATTTATTTTAATATGCCCCAAAAATAAGTGACAACATAAGAAATGTGTTTGATGACAGCTTTAGACATTTATGCGCATTTATGCTAAACTGTTTGATTTCAATTTCTCTGGAAAAACTTTTATTTAGGGTGGGGAATTTTCGTTTGGTTAAAATGGGTCTTTACAGTGTTTTTTTTTTTGGTTTGAACGGATAAAGTTTCTTACTTGAAAGAGATTTAAAGACAAGCGCTTAAGTCTTTCGTTGCATATATTTCTTGAAGTAGCAAAAATGTTTAAATTATGTTAAAAGAAACATTTTAAAAGAAACTAAAATTAATTGCCCAAAAGAAGAAAATTAAATGTATTTATTTTTTAAATTTATCTTTGAACTTATTTACAAATAAATTCAAGATATATCAACCTCTTTGGCAGTAACTATTGCACTCCCTAAAGCTTCGAAGTTCCTGTACATGGTTGTGTATTATTCATTCTGACATTCGATTTCTGCAGCCGGCAGCAGCAGCAGCGGCAAAACAAGGGCAAACAATAAAATAAACAAACAAACAAACACGCAACGAGGCAGACGCACACATGACAGACAGGACGGTCGATTTATGGGGATCAGCAGAGCGGGGAGTGGAGAATGTGGAGAGTGGAGAAAGGGAAGTGGAGAGTAAGGAGTGGGAAGGCCTCTAGACAGGCAGACCTGCATTAAATAAATATGTGCGTAATAAAAGGCAAATAAAAAAGAGGAGGAACGAACGCGAAGCAGAAGAGCTGAAAAGAGCAAACCAATTGAAGTGTGTCGCGCCAATCGAGCCACAACACACACAACAATTGCAATTTGTATTAATTTTATTGGTTTATTATTATCATCGGCGACGTAGACACACACGATTGATGCCATCAGACAGTGTTTAAACGTTGCTTGATTGAAAGCGAGTTAATTTCATTTACTGATTTGTGGCTAGCCTTCGTCATTCGTTGAGGAACAAATGGTGGGGAAATTTCATTCTGGATCCCTGTAATCCACATTACTGGAGCCCATTCATCGACTCTATATTCGGGGTCGTAATCAGCGGATTTCGTTCGATGAACTGCACTTGCCCTGCGATTGCGATAACGCACTGTCGCATCCAAATTTCAAATGGCAACGCGCACGTGTCGCCGTTTTTTCTACCCAAAACATTCGCCACCGTCATTCGCTGATAGCTGCGGTTTATCTTTACCGCTAACTCGTGCAATTTGAGGCAGAATAAAGTGGAACATTTTACACTTTGCCCTAAGTTGCGGTTTTAAGTGGTTTCTCAGTACTTCTTATGACTGCCATTATAAAAACGAACTTTTTAATTTCAGTAAGCTATTGTAAAAGCGATTTTATTTGGTACTTATCAGTATTTTGAGAAGTAAAGTTTCTAGAAATTACAAAAGAATGTCAAGAATAATTTTTCAATCTGGAATTTTCTAGTTTAAAATCGGTTCGTGGAACTTTAATTTTTTTTTAAATTTTTTAAACACCAAAACATTACAAGTTAATATCCCCAATTTCTCAAGTTATTAAACTTCTCAATGGAAGAAAAGAAGAAAGTTATCTTCTCCAAATAAAAATTAATGTTTGAAAATGTCAAGCCATTTTTCTTGAATTTAATAAGTTATCTTTAGTTATATTTTATTTATATTTATTTAATTTTTTAGTCATTCATGTATATATACGAAATAAGCTTTAATCAGTAAAAACTTCAAGTTTTGTTAATCACATAAAAATAAACATTCTCATGTGCAACAATGTGTTTATCTTCGTTGACAATTTAGCGCAATGCCATTTGATTTAATACTTTCTGCTCCATATCAGAGCTCTTCCCACAAACGTGCCGCTGAGCCAGTTATATGTGATATGGCCAGACGATGCCAAGGGCGTGCGAATACGTTCCCGCTGAGTCAAGTTAGTCGCACCGGATCGGCCACCCCCATTATCCCCCCAATATCCCCCGAAAACGCCCGTCGATGTGCGGCGTTATCGTCGGCGCATTCGACCGATCGTTGCTCCGCGCTGCGTTCATTGAACGCACTTTCGGCTCTCGACGCACGCGTCGTTACAAAAAAAAAAAAAAAAAAAACCTCCAAAAAAAAAAAAAGAAAAAGAAAGAAATGTAAGGGAAATATAAGGGAAAAGAAGCTCTGTCTCCGGATACTTGGCTGTGTGTATACGCGTGCATAACACAATAATAATTTCGTTTTACAAAATGAACAAAAAGTTGGGCAACACAAAAAAAAAAAAGGAAAAGGAAAATGAAGTACACAAATAAGCGCAGCCAATGGCCGCGAAAAAGGCAAAAAAAAATAAAAAAAATGAAAAGGAGGTGGACAGGGAGGAGTTGGAGGCGCAGAAGAAACTTGCCCAGACAGCGATCCCAATCCCGATCAATGCACCTTTGCCAAAGGTGCAACGCCTCGCAAAAGTCGGGTCTTTATATTCCAGTATATGGCATATACTATAGCTATAGTACGTGTATATCTGTGTGTTTGTGTGTGTGAGTTGTCTGGGCATGCAGTGACGCACGAAACGCGATCACGTTCGCATTTATTAAAAGATGGTTGCTGTTGCACCGGCGACTGGTTCGAATGGAATGGGATCGGATCGGATCGGTTGGGATGGGATGGTATGGTTTGGTATAGGATTGTATACAGGATGGAACTGGATGGGGTCTCGAACTCGGACTGCGACCAAAACTGCAACTCTTGGCTGGAGACAGATGTGGGTAACATTTGCTAGCCAAGGCAGCAAAAAAATGGGCACTCAAAAGGAAAAGTTAAGTAAGGAAAACAAAAATTAAAAATACCCTTTTAACAGGTTATCCTAAAATTATGGGTATTATTTCACACAGTAATATTCTGTTATTTTAACTTAGAAATCAAAACCATTTTTATTTTAAAACTGTCTAGTATCATCGATCACAAATCTGGTTTAATGTGGTTTGTATAAAATGTAAATACGCAGCAGTTTCATAAATAACACATGATCACGTAATCATTGTATATGACACTTTTTCTCCACTTAATCGTTTAAATAATTACATTTTAATTTAAATTACATTTGAGCAGACAGATCGTTTATAAAACCATACAGAAATACACAGGAAAAAAAATATTTAGAGTAATAAATGAAATTAAAACATTTTAAGAAATTAAAACTAATTCCAGAAATATTTAAACATAATTGAGAAATACAAATAAATCTAAATAAATGGCACAACAGTTCAAATTGCATTAATAAAATTATAAGTAAATAAAATATTAAAGATTCTTAATAAGTAAATCATATGAAGTTACCAAATCTTCTCAGTAACCTTCGTACTCCACTTAGCAAGGGTATTTGAATCCGGGGAAAGGAGTCTAAAACTTGACCAACATGTGGTTCTGGTGGCTATTTTTAGACTCCTCGCTATCTGAACGACTGACTGGCTGGCTGACTGGCTGGTTGACTGGCCATCTTCCTGCTGCACTCCATCCATATGCAGACTCCCCGAACTGCACTCCAAAAGTCAGAGGAGGAACAGGGGCAATGGTCTTGGGGTCCTGGTTCATTAACTGCGACCGAGGTTTAATCAGATTTGTGCGTGAAGTTCGGCACTCACCCGCGGCCACTCGGTGGCAGCAACAAGAAATGGGTGGGATCCCCTCTACTCTGCAACAATATTTTTATGAGAAAGCCTTACAAAATGCAAGACAAAACAAAAAATAAACTGCCGAACCAGTTTCCAGACATCCGCGGAAGCGTGGCACTATAAACAATATTCTTTTCATTTCGGTTGCCTCGCTTTTGGTCTCGTCTCGCAGATTTCGCAGCAGACAAATTTATGAGCGTTAAGTGAAGGCCAATAAAATTCTTTTTGTCTGGAGTGTATTTTTGTGGTCTGTGGACTGCTGCCGCTGCTACTTCTTCTGGCCAGTTTTATTTCCATTTCCATTTCCATTTCGAACTTCTCAGCCAGGGCTCACTTAAGTCATCTCTTCCGCGGGCACATTAATTTTACGGGCTCCTCTTCGGGTTTTTGTATGGAATTTTTTGTTTATTCTGTATTCTTTCCCGTTCAGATCGAAAAATATGTAAATTCAAACACACGCGCTTTATTCAGAAGGAACTACAAACTGTTAGATTTTTAAAAAATTCCTATTTGGTGGACCTATTTGTTCCCAAAAGTTCTAGAAATAAATGTTCATTTAGGCTGGAAATAAATGAATCGTAACCATCTTATATTACTTAATTTAAACCGAAACACAAATATCGATTGTTATCAAGAGTTAATGGAAGCAATTTCATTTAAATGTTTAAGTGCCATATAATATAGATTAATAACTAGAGAATTTCAACAATATATGTGGAAAGTTTCAGTTTTAAAAAAAACGTACAATGAGAAAGTATTTTTTACAATACGCAGCTCAGATTAGAGGCGATGCGACGAACGAATGGTTATAAACCTTTTTTCATGGGAATGAATTTTGATTTTTGCAAGTATATGAGGAATCCAAAAATTCGATCGATGACATATTTAAGGGATATACATGAAACATTTATAAATGTTTCAAACTTGAACCATACCTGCCCTTACAATGTGAGTAATATATACTATATATATACCGAGTTTTTATCCTTCCTTTTATCCTTGCTGTGGCCTACTTAGCATGACATTATATTGGAAAAATTTTGGACTGGCAATTTGGAAACGGCCTTTCTTCGACTGCTTCCCGTTCCCAATGGAGATTATGCCTTGTATTCAACGTGGTACTCCTCAAATGTTACTCGCTTATCAGTAAAGATATTCTTTAAGATTAAAAACTGATATATTTCTAAACGATAAATAAAAATTCGTGAAATGATAAGAAATTAGCTAAATGTTGTAAAAAGATCGTCATTCTAAAATTATACCTCATTTTTCTACCTATTTTAATTTTATAATATTTATTGCGTTACTAAGTATCTGTAATAATGTCGTTACAAATATACTAATTTGCGACCCTTACTTATAAAATAAATTCCAACACTGTATAACCTTTTACTCTACGAGTAACTGGTATCAAAATATAAAATTTTTTTATATATCATTAATTTCCATAGACTATTTTTTTGTGGATGAGCTGATTGAATTTTAATAGTTACTTGCATAATTATCTGAACAATTGTTAATGAGCTTGGATATTTTTTTAAATTAAATTTGTTGTCACAACCCAACCAAAAATATGAACATTACAAGTTCGGAATTCAATATAGAAAGATCACCATGCGAATGTTTTTTTGTATATTTACGATACTGGGATCTTTAACGGTAAACCTCCATATCGATTTCATTTGAATTTAATTAACCTTAAACAATTAGACGGTTTTTCCCTATGTGACCTTCACCAACCTAAAATGCATCACAAAAGACGTAAAGTTTGCCAAGTTCGAAAAGTGCTATATAAAAGCAGTGAACCGTACCCACAAGTATCTAGATATTCACGCAAACATGTATAAGAAATCAATAAATAACGTCTCAGTAAGTTCGAAAGTGTAATATAATAAATATATATAATGCATTTAAATATAATATGTTTATATATAATATATTTTACAGGTTAATGTAAAATTAATGAGATACGACCACGGTTATAGACCGTTTTTCGTCGACTTGCACATTGACGTTTGCAAGTTTCTCAAAAATCCCCGGATACCGATTGCGAAATTGTTCTTTGATATATACAAGAACAATTCCAACATAAACCATACATGTCCTTACAATGTAAGTAAATCGATTTAAATTGAAATATGATATATAATCTATCTAATTGTCTTTACACCTAAGCACGACATTATTATTGATCACGTTTATACTGGAAATTTAGAATCAAACATCTTCAAATACATCCCTTTGCGGTCTGGAGATTTTGCCATTTACTCAGAGTGGTCGGTATACAATATTGTACGTAGTCTTATAAATGTATACGTAAGAGTATCAGAGAAGCAGGAATAGTCTACTAAAGGATTATGTCTTCATGTTATTTCCTCATTTTATTAAGCCTGATCATTCCGAAGAATAATTTTATAAGAAACCGGAAAAGTTAAACTAATCATCAGCTCAGAAAACATTAAGCTAACAGAATTATAAAAATAAACAGCGTTTAACATAATAATTCGTAAAAAAAAATGAAAAAACGTATATTCTGTTTTAATGTTTTACGTATTTTTAATTTACATTGTTAAATTATATTGACTATGGTGCTTGTTTATGCTTATTAACTATAAAATGGTTGTTTTCTTATTTAGTAAAATTTGGCTTTTAACACAACCCTGGTTATAGAACACATGGATGCCCTAATTATAAGTTAATTTTTTGCCAGGGAACTGATACGATCTCAACGCATGGGTAACAATATAATTGTTTTTCTTTTTTATTTTGAAAATTGTTTATATCGGATCATATAGTTTTTAAGCCACTCGACCAAATAATAATTATTGTTAGCTTCATATCCATCAGAGGAGGACCACAATGCGATCGTATATTTATACATTAACATATTTTGGCTTTTTTACGGTATAGTTCAATGTATTTTTAGGATAATTTCAATAAACCTTTTTTCACGTAGACAATCCTGAGTCATTTGACTTTCACCAATATAAAGTGCGGAACAAGAGACTCAAAGTTTGTCGATTTCGAAAAGTGTTACATCAAGGCAGTGAACCGTTCTCATAAATACATCGATATTCACGCAAAGCTGTTCCAAGTTCCCGTAGATAATGTCACAGTAAGCTCGAAAAAATATCTGAATATTTAAGAGCCAAGACTAGAAGAGTTTTTGTAGGTTAAATTTGAGTTATTTCGCAATAACAACCATGGATATAAGCCCTTTTTCGTAAACGTCACGATCGATGCCTGCAAGTTCCTTAAAAACCAAAAAAATCCGGTTATGAGATTGGTTTATAATGTGTACAGGAATAATACAAACGCCAATCACACATGTCCTTTCGATGTGAGTAAAGCCATTTAATTTAATTCTGTCATTCTAACGAACCGCACATTTAAGCACGACTTCATAATTGATCACCTTTGGACTGGGAATATAGAATCGGATTTCACGAGACTCATCCCAATAATACATGGCGACTATGCCTTCTTTACCGAATGGTCTGTTTACAATATTTTTCGGGCGTTTATAAATGTTTATGTAAGAGTTTCAGATAGGCAGTAATAAATAAAAACAATAACGGAGGTGTCTCCTTAACTGCGTTGCAAACTTCAGACTGAAATTATAATACCCTTTGCTCTGCAAGGGTATAAAAACGTATATTCCTTTTCAATAATTTATATATTTTTATTATATTTTATAATACATGTTTGTATGTTTATGCTTATTAACTATAAAATGGTGTTTTCCTCTTTAGTAAAATTTGGCTTTTATCACCACCCTTGTTATGGAATATTTAAAAGCCCTAATTATAAGTTAATTTTTTGCCAGGGAACTGATACGATCTCAACGCATCGGTAACAATATAATCTTTTTTCTTTATTATTTTTAAAATTGCATTCGATCACAAAATAATTATTGTTAGCTTCAAATCCATCAGAGGAGGACCACAATGCGAACGTATATTTATACATTACCATTTTTTGGATTTTTTACGGTAAAGTTCAATGTATCTTTATGATAATATTTAAAAAAAAAACTTTATTATCACCTAGACAATCCTGACTCATATGACTTTTACCAATATAAAGTGCGGGACAAGGGACTCAAAGTTTGTGGACTTCGAAAAATGTTACATCAAGGCAGTGAACCGTTCTCATAAATACATTGATATTCATGCAAATCTGTACCAACTTCCCGTAGATAATGTCACAGTAAGCTCGAAAAAAATATTTGAAAACTCTAAAGCCAAAACTGGAAATGTTTTTGTAGGTTAAAGTCGAGTTCATGCGTAAGGACCATGGATATAAACCCTTTTTCGTAAACATAACGGTCGATGCCTGTAGATTCCTTAAAAACCAAAAGAATCCGATCATAAAAATGGTTTATAATGTGTACAAGAATAATACTAACGCCAATCACACATGTCCTTTCGATGTGAGTAAATCCATTTAACTTAATTTTTGTATTCTAACGAATCGCACATTTAAGCACGACTTCATAATTGATCACCTTTGGACTGGGAATATAGAATCGGATTTCACGAGACTCATCCCAATGATGCAAGGCGACTATGGCTTCTTTACCGAATGGTCTGTTTACAATATTTATCGGGCGTTTATAAATGTTTATGTAAGAGTATCAGATAGGCAGTTTTGATTAGGAAAATAAAAAAAAATTGTTCCTAAACGTAAGTATTCAGCAGTAAAAATGATAAATTATTGAACATAAAAATTATAATGTTTTTGAAACATTTACAGAAACTTTTAAAGTATCTGTGTATTTAATAAACCGGTTAATTCTAACCATAAAAAAATCTTTGAGTTTCATGTACAAATAATGGATTACTTTTTACTTGATCTATTATAAATATTTCTTTCCTTAATTATTTGCAAGAGCAACGGGTTTTTTTGAAAAACGACGTTCAGCAGGAGTAAACTAAATAAATACAAACAATTATAAATCGAATGATTTTAAACTGTACAATTGTATATACTATTTGTAGCTATTTAAGAAAGCAATTAACAGTTAAATGTTCATGGTTGTTGAACGAAATAATAACATATTTGATTTTAAAATGGAAAATGGACAAACCATTGAACAATCTCAGTTTTTATCGAAATGTGCAAGTTTCTGCTGCTCGGATTATGGATGGCTCTTCCAATGGTAATCGAATGGATTTAGTAAAACCGTATATGATAGATACTTTTATTAACCAGATCTGCTTCGATTAGTGAAAGTTGGTTTTTAACACCACCCTTGTTATATGGAATACATGGAAACCCCAATTATAAGCCAGGGAACTGATAAGATCTCAACGCATCGGTAACAATATTATCGTTTTTCTATATTATTTTTCAAATGGTTTATATCAAACCACAAATTTTTTATCCACTCGACCAAAAAAGTATTATTGTAAGCTTCAAGTCCATCAGAGGAGGACCACAATGCGAACGTATATTTGTATATTACCATTTTTTGGATTTTTTACGGTAAAGTTCAATGTATCTTTATGATAATATTTTTAAGAAAACTTTTTTATTACCTAGACAATCCTGACTCATTTGACTTTTACCAACATAAAGTGCGGAACAAGGGACTCAAAGTTTGTCGACTTCGAAAAATGTTACATTAAGGCGGTGAACCGTTCTCATAAATACATCGATATTCATGCAAATCTGTACCAAGTTCCCGTAGATAATATCACAGTAAGCTCAAAAAATATCTCTAGAGTCAAAACTGGAAAAGTTTTTGTAGGCTAAACTCGAGTTCATGCGTAAGGATCATGGATACAAACCCTTTTTCGTAAACATAACGGTCGATGCCTGTAGGTTCCTTAAAAACCAAAAGAATCCGATCATAAAAATGTTTTATAATATGTACAAGAATAATACTAACGCCAATCACACATGTCCTTTCAATGTGAGTAAAGCCATTTAATTTAATTCTGTCATTCTAACGAATCGCATATTTAAGCACGACATCATAATTGATCACCTTTGGACTGGGAATATAGAATCGAATCTCACGAAACTCATCCCAATGATGCAAGGCGACTATGCCTTCTTTACCGAATGGTCTTTTTACAATATTGTTCGGGCTTTTGTAAATGTTTATGTAAGAATATCAGATAGGCTGTAGTAAATATTTAAAAAAATAAATAAAAAATAATAATTTAAATACAAAAAATATTAAAAAATAAGTTTATATTTTCGTTTTAAAAATCAACCTTAGAGAAATCTCTGCTGCCTTTCTATGAAAAAGAAAAATCCATCTTTAAAATAAATTATCTTATGTCTTTTTTTGCTTTTTAGGGAGATGTCTAATAAAGTGATAAAAGTCGTTCAGCAGTAGTAAACTAAATAAATACAAACAATTATAAATCGAATGATTTTAAACTGTACAATTATAGGTTCTATTTATTGCTATTTAAGACAAGCGATTAACAGTAAAAGGTTCACGGTTGTTAAACGAAATAATAACATTTTTGATTTTAAAATGGACAAGCCATCGAGCAATGTCAGTTTTTATCGAAATGTGCAAGTTTCTGCTACTCGGACTATGGATGGCTCTCCCAATGGTAATCGAATGGACTTAATAAAACGCAGTATGGTAGATACTTTTAATTATTCAGATCTGCTTGGGACACGTAACATTTACCAACCTGAACTGCACTTCTTCCAATTTGGAGTTCTTAAGTTTCCCAATTTGTCATATTAAAGCGGTCAATCGAACGCATAAGTATATGCATATATACACAAAAATGTATAAGTTACCTGTTGATAATTGCTGGGTGAGTTTAAAATGCTTAAAAATATATTTCTCTAATTGTTTTACTCATATTGAATTGTAGATCAAACTTAAATTTAGGCGTTTTGATCACGGCTATAAACCGATCTTCAAAGATATTTCAGTCGATGCCTGCAAATTTATGAAAGAAAAGAAAAATATAATCGTTAGTGTCTTCCATGAAAATTTCAAAAATAGCTCCAATATAAATCACACCTGTCCCTACAATGTGAGCAAGATATAATTTTAAATTATATAAAATTAAAAAATACTAATCAATAATTTTTTTTAGCACGACATCATAATAGATAAATTCTTTTCCGGAAATCTGGAGAAGGAATTGGGAAGGCTTGTACCAATACCAAGTGGAGACTATGCCCTTTTCACAGAATGGACTATAGACAATATTTTACGCGCAACAGTTAAAGTTTTTTTGAAGATTACATATAAATAAGATTAATTTAGCTTTGCCTTGAATTTAATTATGTTTCTTTTAAAATTTTTGGAAATTTGGGAAAAACTTTGATGAAAAACCAATCGCTTTCAAACAATTAATTAACCTTTTATTTCGAGTTCCTGCGTGGTTTGATCTCTGTAAAATTTGATTTCATTTTAAGTGAATATTGTTTTTGAATATCAAATTTTCCAGGAACGTATAAAAGCAGCAAGCGAAATAATTCATCAAAATCGTGCGTAAGAGGAAGGTGGGTCGGTCCATTAATAATAAATTAAACATATTCCCCGGCATGCTTCTGCCAATCCCGACGACACCAGCTTTCCTCATCCGCCTGCTCCTTGGGTTTTGTGGAATGGTTTTTGCTTGCCCTCCTCCTTGTTGTTGTTGGCGTTTTTGTTCCCCTAATGACCTAGAATACAAATTCAGGCTGCCTCCGTGTTCCCCACTCGCCGATTAGCAAAATCCCAGGGCGATCAAGGCTGCCAAGTCATCCGCAGCCAGTCACTGAAACGGAAGCTAATCGCCTGACTAAGTTCCTTAGTTCCCGCTCTCCAGTCAGAACCAATCTTCAGCGAATTGCGTAATATGTACAGTTTAGGTCAATATAATGGCACCAACTTAAAGGTTGTATTGTCAAACGCTGACAACACAAGTAACCCAAAATAAAATTAAATTCAATGTACCCAAATGATAGCTTTGATAACTATATGTTCTTATATGTCCTTTTGACCTTTAGTAACCCATATATATTATTTCAACAATTTGTATTATTTATTATTTATTATTTTTATATTAATTTATATAAACATTTTTTTTAATTTTCTGTAAACTAATTTCTAAAGCTAAGTTTGGCTGACAGTAATCCCCAGAGATTTCAAATCAAATTTATTTTTATTTTTATACTACTTAAAAGTATCCAATTGTTTAACGAAAACAATTCAAGAACCTTGGAGCTATCTTTCTGACCTCAAGTGTATGCATGTCCATTGCAGATGCCGACGGTCAAGGTGGAAGCTTTGTGGCTTCGACTGTTTGTCTGTCGGATTATAAATGATTTGCCATTAATTCTACACAAATGCCAGGGGCCGGCAGACAGAAAGCAGACCGGGAGAACATTAACATTTGGCATTCGGCATTGGGTATTGGGTATTGGGCAGGCAGGTAGTCGGGCAGTCAGACAGAAGTGAATAATCAATATCATTTGATTACATTGATAACGCTTTTTTCTGCCGGTTTTTTTGCTTTTGTTTTTGTTTCTGTTTTGTGGCTTTGTTCTGCGATTCCGATATCCAAATGCTTTCGTCACTGGCGGCATTGC